TCTGTTTCTGGAATGACTTGTACATATTTTTATAATTATCATTTTTTTAGATAGCTGCTCCCCCCGATAAATTAAATTCCAGGCAGGTTATGATTCTCTCCATACTTTCTCCCTAACCTCACTGCCCAGCATGGGCATGTAGCAAATATTCAATGAAATGTTCATTCAGTAAACTGTTAGGCATCTTACTGGCCACACAGATGTGACACAATTATATGGCCTCAATTTAAATGCAGTAGCTGTAATTCAGCTCTAGATTAAATGACGTCTTGATGCACAAAAACTTTTGAGATGACAGAATTCAACCTTATTTTACTACAGTTGCAAATAAGCTATTATTTTACCATAACGAATGAAGAGAAAGCTAGAGCACTTAAAACTGCCAATAATATTTTTTTTCAATCATTATGTGTATGTCTACAAGGAGCCAGACTACAAGTGGCAAGTACACATCCCTCGTGCCAGTACGCTCCTCTTCTACTCTGCAAGAGACATTGCTAATCAATCACATTCATTGCTTCTGAGCTTGGACTCGTCTCCTCCACATCACATTCAGCACGACATTCCAGCAGTTGCTGCCAATGGATGGGGGCCTCATCATCAGTTAATATCCACATGTCATGCTTGACCTGGACCAATGTCACGTAATTTCCCTATATATAACATTTTACCACTTGCTACTTCCTCTTCTAGTGAGGAAAGAAAGCATATGGGCAGCTCGGGGAAATCTTACATAAGTAAAGTTTCAGATCTTATCCGAGCCAGCTACATCCCAAGAGCAAGTCTATAGACCATTACTGATCTACAATTGATTTTCTCACCACTTCAGAGAAAAAAAAAAAATTAGAATGACCTGGAGAGCTTTTTAAATCCTATATACAGATCCCCAATCTTGAATTAACATCTCTAGAAGTAAGTATAAAAACCATGTGAAAAAAAAAATATATATATATATACACAGTCAGGTTTAGGTACTCCTGAATTTTTTTTTGTCTGTAGGTATAACATTTCAATTGCATGCTTTTGATAAAGAATATTTTTTCCTTAAATGATATCACTCTTATTCTTAATTTGTAGTTTTAAAATATCTTTCATATATGAAATAATGGAAATAATAAATAGTAGTAGTGAGAGTACTGGAGGCTACTTCTTTTAATGCCATATTTGGCGAAATAAGGAGTTTGAAATCCTACTGTAAGTCTCCTTGTTCTGAAATTTTGCTGATCCTTTAAACGGGCCTAGTGGAAGCCAGACCTCAGAGGAGTCTGAGCATGCAGGGTGAAATGGTGGGTGGGATAAGCTATCCAGAAAGCTGTTTTCATTCAAAATTGAAGAAAATTCTGGGAGATAGTTCAAGCCAAGAGGGAAAAAAGAGTCAAGAGAGCAAATCAGGCTCAGCCTCGTGAAGCCTTCTCCCAGGACGCGGTGGGGGTGATTCTGGCGTTTTCCATGTGCCTGGCCCTGGCACGACCCCATGCACGGGCTTCAAGTCTAGGTGCAGATTATACTGTGAGAAACAGGAAACGAGACCTGAGCTGTGTCACTAAAACCTCTGCGACATGTCGAGGCTTGAAAACACTCGATGGTGCAGCACACAGAGGGGACACGGGCGTCCCCGCTCTCCCGGTGTCACCGGTAGCTTGGGAATCTCAGAGCCTTCGGTGAACCTTCGGCAGCGGCAGCCTGGTGAGCGACAAAGAAGGAGCCGCTGTGAACTGGGAGAAACCACAGGGCTCGCCAAGATAGGGCAGTGGAGCCCACGAGGGGGTCAGCAGTGCCTGAGAGACGGCGTTCTGAGAGACGGTGGCCATGTTCAGGGGTGACGGCCATGTTCGGGGGTGGCGGCCATGTTCAGCGGGTGGCGGCCATGTTCAGGGGTGGCGGCCATGTTCAGGGGTGGCAGCCATGTTGGGGGTGGCATCCATGTTCGGTGGGTGGCGGCCATGTTCAGCGGGTGGAGGCCATGTTCAAGGGTGGCGGCCATGTTGGGGGTGGCGGCAATGTTCGGGGCGGCGGCAATGTTCGGGGGGCGGTGGCCATGTTCGGTGGGTGGCGGCCATGTTCCGCGAGCCGCCATGTTCACACCTATGCCCAGGAGTGCATGGTGTTCAGGGAAGACTAAGCAGTTCTCTGTCCGTGTTTGTAAGAGTCCTCCGAGAAACACTAGAGCTACAGAGGGAGAGTTCTTTGTGGGAAGTTCAAACTAGGTTTAGTACACTCTGCAAGAGCCCAAGGCGTTTTTGTACAAAATGTGACGCTACCCCTTCCACGCCCCAGTGTGGCGCAGAGCAGGCGGCCTCTGTGAAACAAGCACGGGAGACACGCTAGCATGTTCCAGGGCGTTCCTGCACCGTCCTCCAGCTTCTGGGTCTCTTTGGGTCACGATTACACCGCATCGAACTAGCCCATGGAATTGCCATCCTAGTAGGCATGAGGAAAATAAGGCATCTGGGAACTAAGTAACTCATACCAAGCTGCTTGGCTGGAAAGGGTGGTGTTGAGATTGGAACTCTGGAAGGTTGACCTGAAGACGAAGACCTGCTACACTGTATCATATCCGACTCCTCTCTCTTAAATAAAATGAGAGAGCATTAAGAAAATATGAGGTTTTACACATAGGAAACATATTGTTGTTACAGTATTATTGCTCCGTAGGCTGGACCTTGAAATTATGGTTACCATATTTCCGAAAAGAATACATTAATTCCAAAATGTAGATCATTCCCACTAACCTCCTTTTTGTTTCTTTCTATACACACAAATGACAGGGGTGTAGGATTAGAAAATCCTCTGTACAGGGAAACACAGAACAATTCAATTAATAATTTCAATTTCATTTGGCATTAAAGGTGTTTTAAAAATAGATGTCTTTATCTCAATGAAAGCAAGACCATTAAATGAAAAGAAGTCCCTCTGAAGATTGAGAGCTCAATATCACTAAATTAGTCAATGGATTTAAAATTACAAAGACTTAACGTCCAGGAAATATTTTGTAGGGTCTTTTATCCAGTGACTTTAGATAGTAGGCCTTGGGAGAAAGGCAAAATTCATTCCCAAACAAGCATGTGGAGCTAAAACTTTAAAGGAAAAAAAAAAAAAAGTACTCTTGGAACTATAAAAAAGACAGATGACATTGAACAGTGTAATATCATTTTCCAAGCAGAGTGCATTAAAAACAGAAGGGAACAAAGTAAATTTAAATTAAGCCAATCTAAAAGTTAAGTAAACAGAATTTATTAGAATTTAGGAAATCTAACTTTCTGTTCTTATTCCTAATGATGTGTGCTGTTAGTTATACAGGCAAACTTTTTAAAAACAAGTATAATTCTTCTCTCAACAGTTTCCCTTTAATTAACTCTCTGGTCTAATGTCAGCCAATTGTTTTCAAACGGTGATTAACTTCTGCTCCACTGTGTGAACAGTGACCAAGCTGTGTCTCTACAGCAGCTGCCATTTCATACCTGAGGAGGCAAAGGATATGACTGCCTGCTGGATTGGATAATAACTGGGGGAACATAAAAATGAAAACGTCCTTGAAATCTTCAACAGACAACATTAATAATGACTTAGTCATTTTGGTGACTTTTTCCCCTCCATCTCTAATAGAAAATAATAAGAGAACAGGCTTATCAATATAATCCTATACAATAAATAAAATAAGTTTGCAAACCTAATGTTAAACAACCAAGGTTACTCAGGTGACTCTTACTTGTACAACAAATAATTCAGTCTAGTTGAGTTACTGGAGAGTTGAGGGAAGAAAAAGATGTTTGCTGGAAATATCAACTGCTTAACTCATACTATGCACCCCTATTTATGCAAGCTCTGGAGTAGGACCAGGGATAGAAATGAAGTAGCTCTGGCTCTTTCCATCAAAGTAACCACAGAATCCACCCAAGATCCAGAAACCAGAAACAATAGCTCCTTAAAACCAATACAAAATTTTACCCTTAATTCAAGAATCTATGCATTTCATTGACTGTGCACCTAACCTTTTCTATCTTAGCTTTTCTTGAGTATAAAAAAAATGACTTTTTATATACCCATAAGATTTTTAAGGAATTTAAAAATCACTAAAATTATCCCCCTAGCATTTTTAATAGAAAGCTTCATAACAAGATATCCTTACTGATTCCTGTGTCTAATACATTGTTTCTAATCAACACTAAAAGATACAGATGTTAATTTATCAGTCACCTGGTTGTCAATGTGATAGTCCGGAGGTAGCCAGATGCTTGATATTTGATCACTAAAGAATTTGAATGACTGGCCATCTCTTAATAGTCACGTCAAAATTTTAAAGTAGAAACTAAATATCACGAAATTTTTTTCTTTTAACTCAAATCCTTCATGCTTTAACTTGATCAACTTCATTCTTATTTTGTTGTAAAACAAAAAGAATGATGTGTATAACTTTCTATGCCTTGGTCTTGACAGAAAACAATGGTCCTAGTGATTAACACTGGTAATGTCTTGAAATTTATGATAGATGATAACTACCATATTATTGAGATTATTAATATACTTACTTATTCAACAATTACTGAATACCAATACAAACCAGACACTGTGCTATATATATGGCAATGCAATGGAGAGACACAGTCTCTTGAAACTGTTAGTCTATGAGAGAGACAGAAAAATAATCACATAAACATACACAGAACTCTGATAAATGATTTAAGCAGGAGATACCAACCATTATGAAAGCCTCAAGTAACAGAATTAACACTTTGGAGAAAGTCAGAGGTGGCTTCCACAGGTAAGTGATATTCAAGCTGAGAAAAAAAGAATTGGGAGAAGAGAAAAAAAAATTATCCCAGGGGTAAGAGCATATGTAAGACCCCGTGGCAAAAGAAAGCATGATACAAGGCGGCAGTTCTCAAAATGCGGTCAAGAACCACTACGAAAATAGTCAGAAGAATAGTCATAATAATATAAGATGTTACTTGCATTCTTTCACTGTGATTCTCTCATGGGCACACTGTGGATTCTTCCAGAGGCAACATGACCTGTGACACTGCCATGGATTAAATGCAGGAGCAGACATGATAATCCAGCTGTCTTTCATGAAGCCAGACCTTAAAGAAATTCGCAGAAAGGTATAGCAAAGCCACTCTTCTTATTAATTACTTCACTTGGGAAAAATGTAGTTAAATTTTATTTTTAAAAAACCAATTGACATGTAGTAGCCCAGTAATGTTATTTTTAATGCATTAATAAATCAATGTTTTTAAATTTTTATTTCTAATTATGATAAACATCAGTAGATGTGACATACATAAACAAAAGCTCATTGGCATCCTTGGTAATTTTTCAGATAAAGAAGGAAGGGCGTCCTGAAACCAAAGAGTTAGAAACCTGTTGATAAAAGGAAATAAAAAAAGGACAGTGTGATATACACACATGTGAGTATGTGTGTGCATGTGTATGTGTGTGTGTGTGTATTTGAAATAAGGAAGATGCTATTTGAAATAAGGAAGAACCAAAGATGCTCTTTGGTTCTTAGGATTACTGCTGGCCCCATATTTTGCAGTGCAAGCAAAAAATTTGGGGCCCCTTATTCAGAAAGCAGGGGTGGGGGGAAATTGTCAAAGGTACTAAAATATAATTTTTCCCTGTCTTCAATGATCTCTATCTCTTATCTGTTATGTTAGTTACGATTTAACATCATTCTAAATGTTGAAAATTAAAATTTGTAACTATTATTGTGAATTTTACTGTTCATTTTTATACTGCACAATATCAGTTTTAGATGCAATTCTAAGAGTATTGAATTCATAAGCAGAATCACCAGAATTACACAATGTATTTCTTACTTCATATATGCATAAACATTCTATTACATAAGAATAGTGGAAATGCTGCCACTATTTTTATTTCGATTCTTAATGCACACACATTCTATCAATAACCCTACCTTTAGCTTATTGATGAGTAAGGAAGAAATGGAAGTAAAAGGAACTATAAGTTGCCTTCTTTCCCTTTTCTTCTATGGCATCATTTTCATCATAAGTAGTTGGCTAATAGAGGGAAGCACCTCGAATAAGAAATTATAGGGTGACTTGGTCATTCATCTTTCTTAGAACTCCACTGAGGCTTTTCTGTGTTTAAAGCAAGCTCTGGATCAAATAAAAAAAGACAACATCCTCACTTAGTAGGGTAGGCTAAATAATGGCCCCCAAAGGTGTCCACCTCCTTTTCTAGCTCCTACAAAACCTGTGAACATATTATCTCAGGTGGGAAAAAGTACTTTTCAGATGTGATTAAATTAAGGCTCTTGAGATGGGGAGATTATCTGGATTATCCAGGTAGGCTCATCATAATTTTTATAAGAGGAAAGCAGAAAGATCAGAGAGTCAGAGAAACAATGTCACAAGGGAAGCAGAAAAACAGAGAATGGAAAACACTAAGCTATTGGCTTTAAAGATGGAGGAGGATGAGATTGTGAGACAAAAAGATTCGCCCCTTGAGCCTTCAGAAAAAAAATGTAGTCATTGATTTTAACCCCATTCTAACTTCCAGAACTTCAAGAAAATGTATTTGTGTTGTTTAAGCCACTAGGATTGTGATACTTTGTTATAGCAGCAATAGGAAATTACACAGTAAATTACAGAGCTACTCAGAACTCCCATGCATTGTGAGTCCACCAGAACTCTATGCTCATGAGGCATCAAAAACACAACGTACAAACAGGGCTGTGAGGAATGGCAGACAAGCATGATGTGTGTATCTCCTCTGCTCGTGCGCATGTTCTGCAGTCCCATGCACTACACTTATAAAACACAAGTTTAAAGAAAAAATAAGAATTTCAAGACAGCGACAATAGAAAATTAAGCCAAGCAGAGGGCCCTCTGAGCATAAGGCCTTGTACAAATGCACAGGTTGCTTGCCTCTGAAACCAGCCCTGCCTAGAAGGAATAGCCTCCAAAAATAAAACAAGTTGGTAGAAGTTGAAAAAAATATACAGTACTATAATTGCAGTACTTGCCAGTATTCAAATTTGTTTTTATTAATACAAGTTTTCCTGTCATTCCTCCAAATACACACACACACACACAGTTTTCAGGTGTGAAGTCCAGAAATATTATTTTTTAAAGCTCTATAATTGATTCTGATCGTTTCTATCTTCAGAAACAGAAACTCTACCATTTTCAAGTTTCATAAATCCAAGGATCAGAATTTGGAAAGAGGCCAATATCCCTTCCTCTGAGAAGCATTTTCAACAGCCACCCAAATATACAGTGAAGCCAACATAACCACATACAGTTGGCATGCTGAAGTTTGGATATTTTTTTCTGCATAAGAAATAGAATGTTGAGAATGGGAACTGGTTTTAAAATTAACAAAATCTGAGAGAAATGGAAAATTATCCTGAAGACTCAGAGAATGGGCAAAGCTCTAAACCTGATTTAATGGAGGAACCAAAAGAAAATTTTGGAAAACTTTATTATATCTTCAGGAGAATGGAATAAAATATGGCCAGTAAGGCTAGGGAGTCTGAGAAAAATAAACAATAAAATAGAGGGACAGTAAGACGACACACAAAGACAGCAAAGTAAGATTTAAGGAGATATCAAAAAATGTTTCATATGTTTGCTGGCCATTATTGTGTCTTCTTTTGAAAAGTTTCTGTTCATGCCCTTTGCCCATTTATTGATGGGGTTTTTTGATGTTTTTCTTGTTAATTTTCTTAAGTTCTATACAGCTATTAGCCCTTTATCAGATGTATAGAATGCAAAGATTTTCTCCCATTCTATAGGTTGCAAACGTATAAAAAAGTGTTCAATATCTCTATTCATTAGGGAAATGCAAATCAAAACCACAATGAGATATCACCTAACTCCAGTGAGAATGGCCTTTATCAAAAAGACCCAAAACAACAAATGCTGTAGATGTTGGAACACTCTTATACTGCTGGTGGGACTGCAGACTAGTGGGAAGTAATTTGGAGATATCTCAAAGAACTAAAAATAGAAATACCATTTGATCTAGCAATCCTACTACTAGGCATCTACCCAAAGGGGGAAAAAAAACATACTATATAATAAAGACATCTGCACACGAATGTTTATGGCAGCATAATTCACAGTTGCAAAGATGTGGAAACAACCCAAGTGCCCATCAATACACGAGTGGATTAATTAAATGTGGTATATGTATACCATGGAATACTACTCAACTACAAAAAACAAGGTGATCTAGCACCTTTTACATTATCCTGGATAGAGCTTGAGTCCATCCTCTGAAATGAAGTATCACAAGAAAGGAAAAACAAGCACCACATGTACAAGCCATCAAATTGGTACTGATCAATACTGAAGTACTCACAGGTAGTAATATTCAGTGGGTGCTGGTCAGGTGGGAGGGAGTAGGGTGGGAGGTGAGTAAACTCATAACTAATGGGTATGGAGCACACTGTATGGGGGAAGGGCATGCTTGTTACGCTGGTTTGGGCAAGGCAAAGGCATTATATGTAACCAAATGTTTGTACCCCATAATATTATGAAATTAAAAAAAATGTTTAAAGGAAAACCAATATTATAATAGCTTAACAAAAATATTTGCATATAAAAAGCATAACTGATAAGAAATGAAAATGATATGAAATGCATTAGATGTCAAGGCAGAGAATTAAAATCAGCCCAACAATGATGCGTATTTTCAAGAAATTTGGAATCCAAGTAATAACCAAAACATAATTTAAAAAATAAGGTGAACTAAGGAAAATAATAAAAAGATATTCTTTATAATTATTATTATAACTATTTAGCTAAATTTTTTTAAATTAACATAATCAAGGAAAAAAATCTAAAGACAGAAAAAAAAAACATATTAACCACTAAGGAATGAAAACCAGGTGGACATTGATGTCTCTAAAATTACATAGCAGAAAAATAACAAAATGATACACATAAAATTCCCAGGGAAATAGAATTGAGACCTACTCATTAGGCCTGGTCAAAATGTCATTCACTTTTGAAAACAGCAGAAGGATATCTTCAGATATACAAGAGCTCAAAAATATAACATCTCTGTGCCCTTCTTGAAAATATCTTCTACAACATACTAAAGATATCAAATATTAACCAAAAGTAAGAGTTAAATAAGGGGAAAGTTAGATTATAAAAATATAAATGATGTACCCTGAGAGTAGTTTAACACAGTTGAATTTAAATAACTCTTGTTAGTTGGAATAAAAATTTGAATACAAATGTCAAAAATAATCATTGTAAGAAGAGATTATGAAAGGTAGCATATATTTCGTGAAGAATAGTTATCTGGGTTGCACCCCCCAGATTGTATTGATATTAGTGAGGGCTATAGCTTTCAACTACCAGAGAAGATAAAACTAAAAGAAATAGCCACATTTTATGAGACTAACAAAATATAAAACAAGAGGAAAAAATTAAGATAAAATATTGAGTGTGATACAAAAAGCTTAAATTCCTCTACTAAATACAAAGATTCTCAGATTAAGAGACAGAATATATTTATATAAATTATGCTTCCAAGAGACCTACCTAAAATAAAGTGGCATGAAAACATTTTGAGAGATTTCTCAAATTGGGAACAAACTGCCTGAAACCACAGATTTAATAGGGTCAAGAACTGACTGTCTACATTAACATGACTTTACTATTCCAGTAAATTCTTGCCCAGGAAAATAAAGTTTCAAATAACATTACTATTTGCTTTATGAACCCCTTACAAATCTATTTATCCAAACAATAAACTGCTCAACTTGACTCCTCCTCAGGCATTAGGGTAAATAGCCCCCTTGTCACGAAAACAGATTTCTAAAATTGGCAAACTTCTTCATTATAAAACAAATATTCATTTATCAAGACCCACTTTGAAATCCTCTTTTTTATGTCCACCAATCCTAAACTAATATCAAAAACCTTGCAGAGTCCTTCTCTGATCCCTGCATTTAAAGCTTTGCCTTAAACAAACCCCAAAATTCCCTAAATATCCACCTAAAAGTGGTATTTGTCCTTATTGCAGTAAGTATTAATAATAAATTCATCTGTGCCTGAACAATATATTTCAGGATATTTTCTTCAGAGTTGTTAGTCAACAAAATAAACTCAAAAAAAAAAAGCTATCATCCATTTTCAGATAAACTAAATGATAATATATAGACTAAGCCGGTTGTTATTTTATGTTGATAAAAAGATAAAATCCATGACAAAGATACAATAATCATAAATCCTTAAGTGCTAAATAACATAGTGTCAAACAAAATTCAAACTGTTGAAAATGTGGTAAGGAATTGTTAGAAACAAAATTGCAATGGGAGAACTTAACAGGTCAAGTAGTTAAAAGAAAAGGAAGACAATTAACAGACAAACGCAAATAAAAAGAAAAAGTAAGAATGATAATTTCAGACAAAATAAATGTTAAGGCAAAAAGCAATAAACTGATAAGTATTTCTTATTGAGAATTAGAATAATTCAATTAATAATTTTAAATCTATAACTATAAATTCTGTAGACTGCAAAAGAAAATATCTTTATAGGTATACTTGGAACAATATTTTTTTTAAAAAACTGATAATATTACTCCATAATAGAAAAATTTCAAATTCCTAAAGCAAATGCTATTCAAGCCACAGTGGCTAGTCACAGTGCCAGAGATCAAGAAATTAATAACTTACTTTAATTAAAATAAAAATGTAAAGCATTCACCTACATAGCTATTGGTATAAAAAGAAAATTTAAATAACCATTACATTTCATGTAGAAAAACGTTAAAATAAGAGAGCTACTTATTGAAGCTTATGTCTTTCAGTCGAAGCTCTTTTCATCCTAATAGCTGACAATTTTTCTGGAAAGTTGATTCTGTGGTTTGAATGCATCCTTTCAACCCCTAATGTAACAGCATTGTGTGAGGTGGGGCCTAATGGGAGGTGTTTTGGTCAAGAGCTCTCCGCTCTCATGAATAGACTAATGCCAATTATTAAAAGGCTTAAGGCTGCAAGTTAGATCTCTTACTCTGTCATGCTCTCTTGTCCTTCTTCCTCTGCCACAGGATGTCATAAAAAGAAGGCTCACACCAAATCCCGGTACCTTGATATTAGACTTCCCAGCCACCAGAACTGTGAAAATAAACTTCTTTTCTTCATAAATTACCCAGTCTGTGGTATTCTGTTACAGTGGCATAAGATGGACTAAGAAAGGAGTTAAGCACATTACAGGCACTTTCTTATTTAATTGTAACATCTCTTTTAGGGGAGTTGCATTATGATCTTTAGTTCATCCACGCAGACAGTAAGCAGCTTGGAATGCGTAAGCCAGGAGATAGGACCAAGATGGCCGACTGGAAACAGGTAGTGTGCGTTTCCTCCACAGAGTGGAAGTAGAATAGTAAGCAGATTCTCACATTTCAAACAGATTCTCTAAAAGAGAATGCTATGATTCACCAAGGAAGCAATGGGAAGCACCAAAAGTGGGTAAGGAGAGGGTTCAGGACAACTTGCCTGGCCAGGGACTGACTAAGAGCTGGGAGAAGATCCAGCGTATGGGGGGAAAGTAAGAGAGAAGCCCCCAGGGCTCCTGAGATGAGCTTTTACAATATTGGCCACATCAGAACCCCCCGACCCACACAGGTTTCGGGCCAAACATAGGGAGCTACCTGGAGATTACATAGATACTGCTCTACAAGAGAACCCACATGGACTCCCATAGGCATCCGAGCTAGAGCAGCCTGAGCTGGGCTTCATTCTGCGAGCCTAGGAGCTGGGGAACTGCAGGCACACCTCCAGCCAATCATATACAAGTACCGTAATTCAACTCTAGCCCCTAACTCTACTAAAATTTTTAAAAAGAAGGAAAAAAGAAAGTATAATCTAGTAAAATAAAATTGATTTTTATATTCGGTAATCTATTAACATGCGATATCATATAGATCAAAATTTTAAAAGCCATATATATATAATCATTGCAATAGATGTCCTCAAAAATGTACTTAATAAAACTCAACATTCTCACCTGATTTTAAAAATTTAAAGCAACTTCATGAACTAGAAATAGCATTCTTTGTTAACATTATTTGTTGGGGGCTGATTCTAGTGTTATGCCTTATACTAATCATTCACTACAGCCTGTAATGTCCATGTGCTGCCTGACGCAGCGGTAGTCAGTATTTTCTTCAGACACGGTCGCTGCCTTGTGACTTGATAAGAGGCCTGAGTTGTTGCACATAAGCAAATGCTCCCAACTCCCACACAGAGGGCCCCGTGGTGGGAGTCTGGAGGCCAAGAGAACAAGAACAAGAAGAACTCTCCCAAGAACTGGCCCCTGATTAATGGTTGGTAGTCAATGACGGGTAAGACTCCCCATGGAGGGGGGCGAACTAAGACAGGCACAACCGTGGGGACCAGGGAGGAGCCGCCATCTGGGATTGAGACCAAGAAGCACTTCAAATGGCTGCATTGTTTTATGTTGCCTCTCTCGGCCTTGGCTTTTGAGCTCTGTCCGGCACCTTAACTTCAGTAACCATTTGAGGTCTGAGAACATGGGACCATTGTTCCCTTGTGATACAACTCCGGAATTGGCTG